ATTCCTGTCGCCCGGCACCGTCTCCCTCTTGTCCCCACCCAGAGACAGGGCTGTCCCTGCCATCACTCCGGACTCACTCTCCCTCGCACACGCTTGATTCGCCAGTGCCCGCGTCCCCTGCGCTTCGGGCCTCCCTTTCAAATCATAGGCCATGTCTTCCAGGCTTGGGGAAAAAGACATTCGAAGAAACTTTTTTTTTTTTTTTTTTAATATTATGCTCACAATAAAAAGGAGAAGGAACAGTATCATCATTAAAAACAGATAGAAAGGGGATGCCTGACTTGCTTTTCATTTGGTGACTACTGATGCCGTGACAATAGCTTATGGCACAGCGAGAGACTGCTGGACGCATGTTCATCACGTTTTACTGACATGTCTCGTTAAAAACTAGAATTACAATTACCGCAAAAGAGTAATTCAGTCCCCCGATTTTTTGTTTGTTTGTTTGTTTGTTTTTGGAGAGGTTTTCACTATAGGGCGCATGCACTCACCAGAAAGATAGAGGGAGACAGAAAGACAGAAAGTGAGAAATCACCCCCCAGGGGGGATGGCCACACTGCAATCCCTTCTCCTCCATTCTCCTCTTGGGATCTCGGGCACGCACGCACACGCGCCCGGCGTGAATTTAAGCCACCGGGTCTAGGACTTGAAACATGATCCGCTACATGGGAGTTCAGCAACCTAGCCATTATGCTAACTGCTAGTCCCTAAAAAAACATTTTGTAACATTATCTTTTTAAAGAATTCTTTGCTTAATTTTATTTATTATTATTTTAAATTTTGGTATAGGGCATGTGCACTCACCAGAGAGAGACAGAGAGAGAAAAGAAAGTAAGAAAGCAAGCCAGCAGGTCTAGGACTTGAACCACGGTGTACCATGTGGGAGTCCAGGGCCTTTACCACCATACCACCTGCTGACTCAACATTATAACGCTCGCGAGACAGCACTTCCTGCAGTGCATTACAGCTATTTCTAATCGTCCATCTTCATCCACTTCCAGAATTCGCATAGGCAGGGGCCTGTCTTTCCTCCTTATTACTGTAATCCTCACACGGTGCTTGGCACAGAGGAATGGCCGCGTGCTCTGTTCATTCTAGTCCATGAATGATATGAATTCCCTTTTTAATAGATTTAAAGTGTTTTTTCCTTTAAAACGAGAAAGGCAGAATGCATGGCTGTGTCGAGATGTTCAGGAGAGTCTGAAGTTATCCCAAATTATCCTACGACACACAGTTTGGTGCCAGCTTTGCTCCTCTTTCCGAACCCTCCGAAATTTCAGGATCTTTGAATGTTGGCCATGGTGGTGGTGAAGGCAGGCATGCTGAAAAAAGGAGCGGTGTGAGTGGGTTTTGCCTGCGATGCCCTGGAACACTCTTAAACATGCTAATTCTCGGGCTCCAGCCTAGGACTTCTGTTTCTCTGGACACGGGTGATGCTCGAAGGAGCAGTAGTGTGGAAGTCCCCAGAGGAGCCCATGTTCATCCTGAGTTTAACAAACGTCTGGTTCAAGCCAGACCGCCCTGCTTCGCTGTTTGAGCACTAGCTCCCACGTGGGGTAGTGGTGACGTGGCTGGCCAATGGTGCCATCATGTCTGCTCCACCTGGGAGCCAACGGGTGGCAAGGTAGTTAAGCCACTGGGCTCCCACATGGCCGACGGTGGTTCAAGTCCCAGACCGGCAGTAAGTATCACATCATGCATGTGTGCCCCAAACCCAAGAGGAGAATGAAGGAGAAGGGATTGGGACGTGGCTGCCCCACACCCAGGGACGGGGGACTCCTCGTCTTCCCTCTCACTGTCTCTCTCTCCAGTGAGCACATCTGACAAAACCAAACAAAACAAATACGAGAACAAAACCCGAACTCCACCCCCACACACTTTCACTGTGGTCCACTAAATGTCTACACCTTTGCTTCCGGTCCGCTCTGAAGAAGGCGGGACTAGAAGAGGAGGGGTGAAGGGGAAGTGGACAGCAGAGCAGGTCTGCATGGCTGGAGGACGGTATGAAAACCTGCTTCATACGACACGCGTGAGCCGTCATGAGACCAGCGCATTTCGAAGACCCCCTCTGTGCCTGGCAGCCTGCGGTCACAGCGGTGACCAAGCCTAGCTCAGTCCCTGGTCTTGCAGAGCTAGCGTTCTGGGGGGCTGAGAACAGACAAATCGGGGTGACTGTCATGGACACCAGGGAACAGTATGTGAGGACAAGTTAAAGCAGGGTCCAGGGGAGGATGCAATGGTGTGGTCAGGACGATTCTGAGGCGACGCTGAGACCTGAATGAAGAGAGAGCGACGTAGGGACCCCGTGAGAGCTGGGGGAACAGTATGGAGGGGCCCCCGAGTTGGGGACGCCCTTGCCATGTCCGAGAACAGAAAGAATGCGTTGGGGTTTGGAACAGAGCTTACCACACAGGGCTCAGAGGCCTGAATGTGTCTGAGTGTGATCAGATCCTTGGGGAATTACAAGCAGGACCTCATCTCATTGTAGAAACATTCTGTGATTGCGGTGAGGAAAATGGGCTCAGGAGCTGAGGTTAGAAGAAGGACCACCATTTGGGAGGCCGTCGCAGGGGCCCACGCAGGCCAGAGTGTCTCAGATTAGGACGGTGACAGTGGAGGAGGGAGAAGCCACCGAGGCAGGGAGTATTTGCCAGCAGGAGGGGTGACCACTCGGTAATGCTTTCACAGTTTGGGGCAAGAAAAAGAAAGGATTCTGCGGTGTAACTGGGGGTTGTAATATTAAAGCACCACGTGGTGAATTTTGAATGCTCGAGTAGTTTCAGATACATGGTTAGCCCTCAAGAAACCTCGCTATTATGAAACATCCCAGGAGGGGTGTGTAGTAGCTGACTGGGTGTTCGGGTCTGCAGCTCGGGAGCAGATGGAGGTGGAGATACACACGTGGGCTTTATCAGGATGGGGAGGTGTTTAATACCATCCAGCTAGATGGAATTACCAAGACGTGGGGAAGAAGGGAGGGCTGACAGTGGGGTCTTGAAGCACTGGAATGTGGACACCGAGAGCTGAGAAGGAGGACCCAGAGGAAAAGACTAAGTAGGAAGAGCCTGTGAGACTGGAGGAATGCTTTTTCTTTTTTTCTTTTTTCTTTCTTTCTTTTTTTTTTTTTTGGAGAGCTTTTTGCTATAGGGCACATGTGCTCCCAGAAAGACAGAGAGAGAGAAAGAGATAGAAAGCGAGAAATCACCTCCCCACAGGGGATAGCCACACTGCAATCCCTTCTCCTCCATTCTCCTCCTGGGATCTTGGGTACACACACACACGTGCCCAGCATGAGTTTAAGCCACCAGGTCTGGGACTTGAACCGCGGTCGACTACATGGGAGTCCAGTGACATAGCCATTACGCTAACTGCTGGTCCTGAGACTGGAGAAAATTCTGAAGAATGGCAAGACCTAAAAGCCTACTGAAAAATAAACAAATAAAGGTTTTACGATGAAATTGACTAAAATATTACTGACAGTCATCCAAAAACAAAGGCGTCTGAGACTACTCGTTGGAGATTGTGGGTGAACTTTTTAAGTCTTCTTGGTTTGAAATTTGTACACGTCCCTGAAAACTTGACATTTCTCTAAGGCACTTGCTTTTTCTTGACGAAATCTCTTGATCTTGGTTTTTTGTTTTTTTTTTTTCTTCTTTTAAATATTTCTCCTCTCTCTTTCATGATTTCTCATTATATTTCTCCGTTTTCTGTTTTTATTTAAGTCTTCTGTTGTTATTTTTCCTTTTTTGCCATAGGGCACATGTGCTTGCCTGGGAGAGACAGTGAGAAGGAAAGTGAGACATCATCCGCTGGGTTAGGGAGCTGGTCAAGACTCGCCTTGCAATCCCTTCTCTTCCATTTTCCCCCTGGGGTCTGGGCACACACGCACACATGCCTGGGGTGACTTTGAAGCTGCTGCTCTGGGACTTAAACCGCAGTCAGCCACGTGAGAGTTCAGCACCTTAGCCACCACGCCACCTGCGGCCCTTGCGTTTCTTACTTAATGATGCAAATAACGACCCTGCCTGCCTTTAAAACCGAACAGGTTCTATTTTCCAGAAGTTTTAAGAACTTATTCAAGAAGCACGAGCGCTTCCTTCCACAGCGGTAGTGCTCAGTAACCTCTCAGGCCGCCACGTGGCTGTGCCGTACAGAACACGCCGGATGCCAGATGCAAACAGCCGAAATTTACTAAATAAAATGTTTTTCAAAATCACATGCACATTTTAAGAGCTGAGTCCGAGTCCCAGACGCCCATCGCTCTTGAATTCTGGTTCCAGGAGAGAGAATGCCGCCGTGTGGAAGGTGGTGCTCGGCATCAGCAACCTGGACCACCCGTCGGCGTTCACGCAGACGCGCTCGGTGAGGACCGTCATCCTGCACCCCCGCTACAGCCGGGCGGTGGTGGACTACGACATCAGCGTCGTGGAGCTGAGCGAGGACGTCAACGAGACCAGCTGCGTGCGGCCGGTCTGCCTGCCCGGCCCGGGGCAGTCGGTGGACCCCGACACGTACTGCTACATCACGGGCTGGGGCGACATGGGCAGCAGAGGTGAGCCGGGGCTGGGGTGCTGCCGTGCTGCGGGAGCCGGGGCGCGCCGCTGCCGCCTCACACTGGTCCTGACAGTCCATCCCACTGCGAGCGGTGTAGTTACGGGGATCACACGGCACCGGGGTCCTGTCCTCCCTGCAGGGCCAGCTGGGGACATCCCGACCCATCATGGCAGTGAAACCCGCCGAGCTCACCTGCCTCCTCAGAACGCCCTCACGTCTTGGAGTCGCTCTCTAGGAGGCGCTGGCGGGGCAGGAGGAGACCCGAGGTCGGACTGCCCCTGTCCATGAGCTGGGCTCTCGGCAGGAGCCCTGCAGAGCCTCTCCTGAGTGGGTAGCCCATGCCCCGCCTGCACTCGCTGCACCTCCCACCCTCTCAGTCTCTGCTCCGGTCCGTCCTGTCTGCCCTGCAGCACAGCCCGAGTCCTGCTGGAAAGAAAATCAACTTGCTGTTTTCCTTTATAAACCGATTAGGGTAATTGGGTTATGCATATGATTTAAACATATAAAACAGGAAAATTAAAGTTTTTTACTACTTACTTTCGATCCCTTTAATGTTCTCATTCTGTCTGACCTACTTAAAGTTTCGAATAAGAATCAGTCCGTGACAGTGGGCACTCTGCGTCCAGTGTAATGCCAGGGCGCTCGGGAGCCGTGATGGGCCCTGTTATCGTATTTAGGAACTGCTAAGTGGAAGGACCATTCTTTTCTTTGTCTTTTGCTTGTCTGATTTTTTTGCTAAAGGCACAGGCACTCACCAGAGAGAGAGGGAGAGATCACCCCTAGGAGAGAGGGCCACACTGCAATCCCTTCTCCGTTCTCCTCCTGGGATTCTGGGTGTGCACACGCACACGCCCAGTGTGATTCCCAAGCCATTCAAGACTTAGACTGCAGAGTCAGCCATGTGCCAGCCCAGCGCCTTAGCCTCCATGTCACCAGCTGGTCCAAAACTCTAGTGATGTAAATTTTGAGCTAAGTTGAGTTTCTTTTCATTTAACTTCCAAAGGACATGTGCACTCACCAGAGACAGAGAGATGGGGAGGAGAGAGCATCCCCATGGGCATGGTCGCCCTGGACCCCAGTCTCCACCTCTCCCTCCTATTGGGATGCACACATGCACCCGGCAGGGTTTTTAAGCTGCTGAGGCCAGGATCTGAACCACTGTCAGCCGTGTGGGATCTGACTCCCTTAGCCACTAAAACGCTAAGTCTAGGTGTCTGACTTACCACGGATACCCAGTGTCAGCTGTTCTTTCGACAGCTCCTGAAACTTCCCCATCTGCATCACTCTGATGTCTGCAAAGCGACCTTCACTTGCAGGGAAGCGCCCCATGCATGCACACTGCTTCCCCGG